TGGGGGACGCGTTCTGACCCAGAGTCCGAGGCGAATCCAGCGGTGGCGACGAGGGCTTCTGAGGAGGTCCCCAACAAGGGGAAGTCGGGCGGAGGGTCGCGGTATGGACATGTTTGCTTGTTCCGACGACGAGGGTGTTGTGGGAAAATTTAAAGTCGGACGCGTCCCTCTACAGGGGGAGCCACCAAACATAGTCAAGCAATAGCTTGGGGACGACGTTTTTGGTTCTACATAGATATACATACATATTGGAATTTGGTGTGATTAGTTTTCCTTGTTCTTCCACAGTGCGCCTGTAGGACGGCACGCCTTACCTACAGACGGGGCGCGCATCAAGAATCCACCTACGCTTCGTCAGGGTATCCTAGGGTTTTTCGCTCCTCGCGCTGCGCGGTGACTTCCCGCAGGCGTTGATGAAGCTGCTGCGTTCAGGGTGCTCCGGGCTTCCCCTCGGGTGCACTTCGCGCACGGGTTCTCAGGGTTGGGTTTCTTGCGAGGGTTTCTTGCGGACGCGCCCGCACTGTAAGGGAAAACTCCTGGTGGAGTCGGGCCTCGGAACCGTTGGGCCGCCGCCAGCCCCCCGCGGCCCTCCTGCGGGCCACGGGGACTTTCGGCACGTCGACCCCGCAGGAGGAGCGGGCCCCGGGGGAAGTCCCGGGGTCCAAGGCTCGGTGGCGGCCAGAGGCTCTTTTTTGATGGGTATCTTTTCCACCACTTCCACCATGAGTTGGATAAAAAAGAATATCCTCTTCCTCCTCCACCTCTTTTACCTCCTCGTCCTCCTCCTCCTCGTCCTCCTCCTCGTTTTCCTGCTCCTTCCACCCTCCAACTTATGGTGACGGTGGCAAACAGGCGATCGCGAACATGGATTAAGGGGCGTGGGTTAGCGACGGGTCCCGCTTCCATGGGAAATCGCGGACTTCTGCCGCTGAGCGAGGTGGCACTGGCGGCATTTTGGGCACCTCCCCCGATCCATGGATTAGGCGACCGCGCGCCAAGTCCATAGATCACTAATCCATGTTTGCGCGCCCCCGATCGGCGGCGGCCAGAGCTTGTTTTTTGATTCAGGCAAGTTTGCTTGCATGGCGTTCGCCCTCCCCCCCCTCCCCCCTCGCCCCTCTTCAAATGGGAACGGGCGTGCAAGAAGTGCCTCTCGACTTGCGTGATTTAGGCACGTGCAAGTCGTTTGCGGCTTGCTTCAGGTTCCCCCCCCGACGCCATGCAAGTGATGTTGCTGGAGAAAAACTCAGTTTCCAAGGGGGGGTGCTGACAAGGGAGAGGGGGGGGGGGGCGGCGGGTGCCAGGATATCTCCCAGATCTCACGGCCCCCTCTTCTCCTTTCCGCACGTCCCCCCGGTCGCCCCCCGCGTCCGCACAGATGCCGCTGGGCATGGTCTGTGAGCCCCCCCCCCCTTCCTGGACGTCCCCGCAGGGGCGCGCCCTCTCCCGTTGGACCCGTCCCCAGACAGCCGACGGCGTGCTTCTGCTCCGCGCGCGGCGCAGCCCCTTTGTCGCAAGCTGGGGCTTGTTGGGCGAGCGCCTCGCGTGGCAAACCGCCGCGCCCCCTTTCCCATCCAATCGAAGAAGAAAAACCAAGGACCCACCACAACGCTGCTTAGCTTGGTTTGGGCCCTTGTCGTGTTTTCGATTAGTTTTTTCTTTGTCGTTTCGTTTCGTTGTTCGTCTTTGTTTTGAACGCCCCGGTTCGTCGTTCGTTTTCGTTCGGCATTGGTTTTGTTTACTCGTCCGTTTGAACGTTGGGCTTCGTTTCGTTGATCGTTGTAAACGACAGTTCGTTGGAACCATCGTTGTGGTCGGTCCCTGAAAGAAAACAGCATGAACACAAAGTGTTGGCGCTTCGCACGGATTTCTTGGATCCGCGCGGAGCCCCAACAGTTCATGTTTATGCCGTTGTATTTTCTTCTTCTAATCCAGGAGGCAGTCCACCTCAGTGGACCGCGGCCCGCCGGGCCAACAAACATGGAGCTGCGCGTCGGAGGCAAGTTCCGTCTGGGCCGCAAGATCGGCTCGGGGTCATTCGGAGATATCTACATCGGCACCAATGTGACGACCGGTGAGGAGGTTGCCATCAAGCTTGAGTCGATCAAGTCTAGGCACCCGCAGTTGCTCTACGAGTCGAAGTTGTATAAGATCCTCGCGGGCGGCGTCGGCGTCCCGAACGTGCATTGGTACGGCGTGGAGGGCGACTACAACGTCATGGTCATCGACCTGCTCGGCCCATCACTCGAGGACTTATTCAGTTTCTGCAACAGGAAGTTCAGCCTGAAGACGGTCCTGATGCTCGCGGACCAGATGATCAACCGCGTGGAGTACGTCCACGCCAAGAACTTCATCCATCGCGACATCAAGCCCGACAACTTCCTCATCGGCCTGGGCAAGAAGGCAAACCAGGTGCACATCATCGATTTCGGGCTTGCCAAAAAGTACAGGGACCCCAAGACCCAGCAGCATATCCCGTACCGCGAGGGCAAGAACTTGACAGGCACTGCCAGGTACGCGAGCGTGAACACGCACCTCGGCATCGAGCAGAGCAGGCGTGACGACCTGGAGGCGGTGGGGTACGTGCTGATGTACTTCAACCGCGGCAGCCTGCCATGGCAGGGCCTTAAGGCCAACTCCAAGAAGGAGAAGTACGAGAAGATCATGGAGAAGAAGATGTCTACACCGATCGAGGTCTTGTGCAAACACTTTCCCGCCGAGTTCGTGACGTACCTCAACTACTGCCGCAGCCTGCGCTTCGAGGACCGCCCCGACTACGCCTACCTGCGCCGCCTTCTCAAAGACCTGTTCTTCCGCGAGGGCTATCAGTACGATTTCGTGTTTGATTGGACGATTTTGAATTATCAAGCGAGCCATGGTAAGCGAGCCGAAGACGAGGCCCCTCAGTGATGTTGCGGAGCGGCCCCCGCATCTGATCCAGGCAGCGGCTCCCGCATGCGATTGCAGAACGGCTCCCGCACGGGGAAGCGTTCAATTCGGCAGGCCGCATCTCTCCCCCGATAGAGAGTCGCCAATCTCCAGCGTGAGCATCGCATCGGATTGCGACCAGGACAACCCGCCTCCCAGTCATCCGAGCCAGAGGCTCACATGCCGCAGCGGGCAGATCGTGCGTGCACGCGTGTGCGCGGGCGCTCCTCGTTGAAGGCACCTCCTTCCTTCGGCGCGGTCAGCGATAGCCCCTCTGTGCAGAACTCGGGCAGACTTTGGCTCTGCACCGTCGCTGAGTGCCTTTACGGGAGACGCTGCTCGGCAGCTTCCCGATGCCATCAAGATAAGCATGGCGACTGAACTCACTGAGCTGTTCGAGGATGCTCTCGTCCTCCTCTTCGCGCCTCCCTCCCTCCTCGTCCTCATTTCCCCCGTCGTCGTCGCCGCCGCCGTCGTCGTCGCGTTCTCCCCTCGGTTCGGAAAGGCGAACCCAACGAACGGGGGCATCCCGGTGCGCTTCTGACCCGGAAGTTGTATGCCCGAGACGCGGCCAGCCTCGGCGAGGGTGGCACACACAAGCGTGGCCGCATGCGTTTCCAGGCGTCGACCCTCGTGTGGCGAAGCGCGTGAGCCATCCGCACGTCTATCCAGCAACTGGCCTCCGCATGCTCCGCATCTCCCGGATCGCGTGGGACACCCCGCACGAGATTCTCGGTCGCAGCCCGACCAGTCGAGCACAGAACGATGCGGCGCGCTGTTGGTAAGGTTGAGTTGGAAGTGGCCCACGTGTATCCTATAGGTATGCGCCAGTCCGCACGTCCCCAGTGCGCCTGGGCGGTGCGGTGCGCACGTTGTTGTGAAGCGGAGCAGTTTGCAACGCAATCAGGAGGATTACGACGACGCGACCAATTGACCACACGGCGCATTTAATTCCCAGGAAGTGCATATCCATAGCATACCATATCTCAGGTCTCCGTACCATATCCATAGCATGGCGCATGCTCTGCCATCGCAGATGCCCAGGGTACCTGCTAAGCAAGCTTTCTTGGTTGTGGCCACCGGAGGCCCGAAATTGCCACCAAACCCTCGTCTGGTGTTTTGTTCTCCCGAGGGGGGCCGCGAGGCGACACCACCACCACCAGCGGGGACACTCCCAGCGCGGGGGACCAAGGGGACGGCGCACCATGCTTCCTCGTGCTGAGAGTGGGAGGGTGCATCGAGCGAGACCCTTGCGGAGGTCTCGACCCTTGAGGAGGTCTCAACCCTTGAGGAGGTCCTGACCCTTCAGGAGGTCTCGACGCCATGACTTGCTCGTAACTTCGACCCGTCTGAGGAGGCCTCGACCCTTCCCCGGGACCGGCTCGTCGTCCTGGGTCTTTATTTGCTGGCCCCGAGGCCTGGCGAGGGCTGGCCCGAGGCGGTCTGGGGAGGGAGGAGGGAGGAGGGAGGAGGGAGGAGGGGAGGGAGGAGGGAGGAGGGAGGAGGGAGGAGGGAGGAGGGAGGAGGAGGAGGAGGAGGAGGAGGAGGAGGAGGAGGAGGAGGAGGAGGAGTGGAGGTGGAGGAGGAGGAGGAGGAGAGGAGGAGGAGGAGGAGGAGGAGGGAGGAGGGAGGAGGGAGGAGGGAGGAGGGAGGAGAGAGGAGGAGGGAGGAGAGAGGAGGAGGGAGGAGGAGGAGGAGGAGCAGGAGGAGGAGGAGGAAGGGATGAGGAGGAGGAGGAGGAGGAGGAGGAGGAGGAGGAGGGAGCGGGGGGGGGGGGGCACACCACCAAGAGGACCCCCTCTGGCGCCCCGCGGCGCTGCTGGTGTTGTGTCTCGTGTCTCCAAATGTTCCCGACGCGAGGAGGCCAAGGCGTCTCCTGTACCCGACGTTGGGAGGGGAAAGAAGGCACAGACACAAGCAGACGTCGATTCCGAGGAAGATGCTGGAAAATCTGGGAAGTGGAGGGGGGACACGAAAGTCCAGGAGTCCAGCAGATACACGACACATTTTGGGGTGTGACCTGTGCCTCTTTGCGTGCGCGCCCCTGCCCCCCCTTGACTCCTGCCCAAAAGGTGGACGCAGAGGGCAGGTGGTCCGCCTGCAGGAGCCTCCAGCTCTCCGGTGAGGACCTGCAGGACGCAGTGCGCTGCCATGCTGCCCCGGGGGCAGCAGGGGCCGAGTGCGCTCGGGCGGACGGAAGCCGGGGGCGGGGGGCAGGCGATCGCAAGCATGGATTGAGGGGGCGTGGATTAGCGACGGGTCCCGTCTCCATTGGGAATCGCGATTTCCGCCGGCGAACGAGGCGGCACTGGCCGCATTTTGGGGAGGGCACCTCCCCCGATGTATGGATTTGGCGACCGCGCGCCAAATCCATGGATCGCTAATCCATGTTTGCGCGCCCCCGGGGGGTGGGGGGGGGGCAACAAACGCGGAAGCAGCAGACGCGGGGGGGGGGGGCAACCAGGCGCGGGGGGGGCCTCCCAGAACCCCTCGGTTCATGGACAAACTGCGCTTGGAGGTTTTCGTTCATCTTCGGATTCTGGGGGCCCTCACCTGGCCTCGGGACCTTCAAAAAACGACTCGGGACGACGACCCGATCTTGGAGAAGTGGTCGAGACTTCGAGGGTCGACGGTGCGACAGAACTCATGGCGTCGGGGGTCTGGGCTTGCAGGGGCCCTCGGCGGCCCCCAGGCGGCCATCGCGGGCCCAGAAGGTTCACGAAGGGGAGCACGCTTCTTCACCCCGCGCTTGTCCCCCCCCGCTGTGTGAGCGAGCGCTCGATAAGAAGCTCGGGTTGTTTTGCATCCACCGCCTATTGGCGGCGCGCGCAAGAGGACGGCGCAGGGATGCCGGGATTCTAAGAGGGCGGGGGGCCCTCTGGAGTGCAGGATGGCCTTCTCAGAAGCCGTCCCTGCGTCCAAGAACCCTTCAGGGTTAGAGGCTGGGTGGACTCTCTAAGGTGGCCCTTGCACTCTTAGATCGAAGCCCCCGTCTTCTTTCCATCCTTCTGCGCGCGCCGCGAAGCCTGGGGAGTCGATCTTCCAGATCATCGAGAGACGGTCCTGTGCCTCGAGGGACGTCAGCTCCCCAGGCGGTGGACATGTATCTCTGCCCCTGCACCGAGGCAAGGGAGGGGTAGAGCCAGGACCATGCTCCAGAAATGGTGCGACGCCTCGCGTGACCTCTCAAGCACACCCAGAGACCTTTCGCAGTCGTGCTGTCTCGAGAATGAAGCAGGGAGACCAGCCAAATCGAAGCCAGGATCAGCCCGAGGAGGCACTTCAGTCTAACGTGTTGTTGTTGCTTTGTTTGGTTTTTCTCTCTCTCTCTCTCTCTCTGTCTCGTTATGTATTTTTGCGTGTGTAGATATATTTATATATCTATATAGATGTGTGTATATATGTATGCGTATGCGTATATATACACATACATGTATATATATATATATATATATAGATTCCAGGGGACGTGGCCGGGGGTCCCGCTCAGGAACATCGGCGGCGCATGGGGGCCCGGGGCCTTAGTTTCCTTGTGTTTTTTTACAGGGCCTCGGCGACCCCGAACCAACAAGGCCCCAAGAGGTTGCAGGGAGCTCCAGGGGCTGCTCCCGCCTGGTGCCCCAGGTCACCCACAGGCCTTCCAGAGGCCTCCAGGAGAGCTCCCCGAAGCTCAAACATTTGGTTTTCCCATAGCTTGTTCCGCGTTCTTCTCCACGCAGTCTGTTCTGCATCCCCACGCTGCACGGCAGCCCCAGGGCCCCAGAGGACGCCCAGACCGCCCGGGTTCGGCCCCAGAGGCTCCCAGCCTTGTCCCCAGATGGCTCTGCACGGGAGGATCGGCGCGCACTTCCTTGTGCTTTTAAAAAAGATTTCGGCGACCAGGAGCCAAGAGGGCCACAAGAGTTTTCAGGGAGTTCCAGAGGCTGCTCCCGCCTGGTGCCACAAGTCTCCCACAGGCCTCCCTGAGGCTTCCAGGAGAGCCCCCCAAAGCCCAAACCGCAGCTGTAGCTGGGCCCCAAACAGCCCAACTGGCCAACAAAACGGTTCCAGACACTTCCACAAGGCCTCCGTTGCGGCCCCGCTGCGGCCGCGCGCGGCAAAGCGCGCGTCGGAGCTCGCGGGAACTCCAGTTGCTCCTCTTCCTATTCCTCTTCCCCCCTTGCTCCAGATCCTCCTTCTGCCCACGCTGCTGCTGGTGCTGCTGCTGCTGCGCACTTCTTGCTCCTCCTCCACCTCCACCTCCTCCTCCTCCTCCTTCCGCCCCTCCCTTACTTCCCCACCGCCGTTCCTCCTCGTCCTCCTCCTCCTCCACCTCCTCCGCCTCCGCCTCCTCCTGCCGGCAGCACAGTGCAGGATATCCAAGGCTCTTGGAGGGGCGGCCGTCAGGACCCTCTGGAACGAGATCCGCTGGCGATGGCACTGATTGCCGTAGAATCCTTTAGCACCATGATGCCGCGACTAAAACCTAAGCGCGCGTGACGCGCGCGTGGCTCTAGTAAATGTGTATATATATATCGATATATAATACAGATGCACATGTGGATTCCCCATTGAGTGTTTGCACTGAAATGGTCTTAGCAGAATTTGAAAGATGCGGCGAAATATTCCCGCCGATGTTGGTGGCCGGCTGGGTTCCTGGGTACCCGGTTCTGGGTTTCCGGATTCATGGTCAATATTTCCATGCAGTCCGATTTCAGTGGGTTCCGGGGTCCCGGGTTCTTGGCCGATCTCTTTATCGATCTTTTTACCGATCCCATTTTCAGCCATACATCGATTGAGGTTTACTTCTGGAGTGATGTAGAACGTATATGTACCAATACATGTATATATACACATACACACATCCGCACACAAACACACCGCTTTCCACCTATATGTATTGTATATAACACCGGTGCAGTAACACATAACACAGTTTTTGGCTATGTGCTATCGGGCTATTGGGCTACAGGGCGATGGGGCTATGGGGTTATAGGGCTATGAAACTATAGGGATGTAGGGCCGTCGTGATATAGGTCTATAGGTCTATAGGGCTATAGGCCCATCGGGCTATTGGGTTGTACGGCTATGCGGCTATAGGGCTATGGGGCTATAAGGCTATAGGGCCATAGGGCTATGAGTATCTGTGGTATGGGGCTATACGACCATAGGGCTGTAGAGCTATAGGGCTTGCGGGCTATACTACTTGGCTATGAGGGTATGAGGCTATAGGGCTACAGGGGTACAGGGCTATTGGGTTATAGGGCTATGGGTCTAGAGGTATATAGGGTTATGGGGTGATGCTGCTATTGGACTATAGTGCTATGGGGGTATTGTGTTATGGGACTATATGTTTATAAGGCTATGGTGCTATAGGGTTATAAGGCTATCGGGCGGCAGGGTTATGGGGTTATAGGGTTTTGGGGCTATGGGGCTACAAGGCCATAGGGCTATTGGGCTATAGGTCTATGGGGCTATAAGACAACAAGGCTATATTGCAATAGGGCTATTGGGCTATGGGGTTATAGGGCTGTTGGCCTAGGGAGTTTTAAGGCTATAGGACTATTGGGCTATTGGGTTTTTGGCTATTGGGCTATTGGGCTTCAGGGCTGTAGGGCTATGGGGTATAAGGCACCCACGCTCCCGTGGGCACCTGGGCACCCGGGCACCTGGGCGGGCCGCGGAAATCGGTGACACAACTCATCTAACCATACGAATCACTTAACCAGAGGCGAGCTGTGATTTGGGAATCTATATATATATATATACAAGTGGCACGTGTGCGCCCAGGCTCATACAACAAGCTGAAGGGGCGTTTGAAGCAGGAGTGACATGCAACAGCGAAGTCGCACTCGAGCGCAAGTGGGGTTGCCACACCTTGCGATGTGTGTACCAGGGCCCCCCAGGAAGCCTCAGGAGGCCCGACTTGGATACCAGGAGAGGCTCCAGGAGGCCCCAGGATTGTGAGTGTGTGTGTGTGTGATGTGTGCTTTGTGTGGTGCGTGCTTTTTGCGTGTTGTCGGTGTTGTGTGTGTGTATGTTATGTTTGTCTAGCGTGTGATGTGTTGGGCGTGATTTGTGTCTCTGTGTGTGCATGTAGTTCTGAAGCCCCAGGAGGCCCCAGGAGGCCCCAGGCGGCCTCAGCAGGCCCAGGAGAACTCCAGGAGGCTCCGAGGCGGGGTCTGGGGTACCAGAAGGTCCAGAAAGCCCCAGGAGGCCCCAGGAGGTTCCAGGAGGCCCCCAGGAGGCTCCGAGGAGGGGTCTGGGGCTCGATTTTGGGAGGATGTCTCAGGCGAAACCGCCATTCTCTGAGAATCGGAGTCAAAATCATTGAAATTACCATGTGTTTTTGAAGGTTTTATGATAAAATGTTGGAAATCCTATGTGTTTTTGGACCCTGACGTCACGATCTGCGTGAGGGGTGCCACCGATTTTCAGAATTTCGAGGATGTCCCGAGCGAAACGGCCAGAAAAATCGCGAACGACGGACGCATTAATCGCCTCTGAGCTCTACTCCCTCGGAGAGGTGCGTATGAGATATATATATATATATATATATATATATATATATATATATACGCACACGTCCTACATGGAAACATCACTGCCGGATGGCCTCCCCCGTACTTTTTGAACGGTGCTCCCCAGGCTTGGGGCACTTGCCAAAAGAGCTGCCGAATCGCCGAAAACGCCCCCCCCACACGGTTCCAAATGGCCGCCAAGCTGGCCCAAAAGGTTCCCAAGGTGTTTTCAGATGATTCCCGAAGGGACGAAGAGCGCTCCAAGAGGGCCCAAGACAGCTTTTAGGTGGCAGCAGAGGCCCTATAGACGGCCCAAGAAGAGGCCCCCCCCATAATCGAAGAACAGAAAAAATTCTATAACCGAAAGATTTTGACCCTCCGCGCGGATTTTTGGGATCCGCGCTGGGCTCTCCCAGCGGCGCCTCCGGCGCCGCCCTTGGCGCGCGGAACGCGCCACGGAGGGGGTCCCAGCGCGGATCCAAGAAATCCGCGCGGAGCGCCAATCAATTATGCTTATGTTTTTTCTTCCTTCACAGAAGCCCCCACGAGGCAAGAATCGCCAAAGTCCAGTTGATCAGCGCACATTGTTAGCACAATCGCTTCCCCAGTCCTCACCCAGCAGGCCCTCGAGATTGCCCCAGGACGACCCAAGAGGCCCCCAAGACAGCACCAAAACGGCCCAAGACAGGCCCCAAAGGGTCCCAGAAGGGTCCCAAGGGAATCCCGGGCCCAAAGACGGTTTAAGGTCCCCAAGACCTTCAAGGCCCAAGAGGGCTCCCAGCCGGCCGGAAGAACCCCAGAAGGACCCCAAGAACGCCCAAGAGGGCCCCTTGAGATTCCCAAAACGCTTTTCAAAAAGGCCCCCCACGAGGCTCTCGAATAGGCCCTGGAAGCGTAGGGAAGGTCTTGCGCCTGCGTCCTGCACGGCGTTCCCATCCCAAGGCTCCCGTGCCACGATCCCTGCAGGGCGCCCACAGGCCTCGCACAAGCACGCCGCCAGTGCCACTCCGTCACCCCGGAAGCCCCGAACCCACGATCAAGGTCAGGGGTGTGCCGCCATGGCGACACGATGGCCCCAGCGGCAAGACCATGACACCCCACGCGGTCACGCCCGTGTCTCCAACGCATTGGGCGGCCGCCGCTGTATCCCCCGAGGCAGGTCATGCCCACTCGCTTCGGCATCTGTAGGCCAGTCGGCGCCGTGATCGCCAAGGCCCTCCAAGGCCCTCTTCAATTTGAGACCTTCGCTAAAGGCGTCCGCGTTGGCGGCGAACTTGCTGTGCATGCCACGGCAGACCAGCCCCACGGCAGACCAACCCCACGAACCAACCCCCCAGACCAACCCCACGAACCCCACCAACCCCACGACCAACCTCGTTGCATGAAAGACAGCAGAGACAGAGGTAGCCTCCAGCCGCGGCCAAACGCCGGGCCTCTCCGAAGGCCGTTGCTGTTGGGCGCCCGTGGCATGTGACAGACACCCAGGGCTATTCAGCACGCGCGTGCAGATGGCGTGGCCGCCGGAACAAATCATTTATGGTGTGCTCGTTTGCCATCCCGCTCCTTGCTGCCACCCTTGACGGTCGGTTTCGTCGCCCTGGTCCTGTCTCCAGTCGATGACTTTCACCCCTTTGGTGGCCATCAGCGTCGCCCTCTCATAGCGACCCCAGCCCTTCCCAAACGGCCGTCGCCTCTTTCTTTGGCAATGGCTTTTCAGAACCGCGACCTGGACTCACCTCGCGGTCATCGGAGCAGTTTCATTGCTGCCCCCCCTTTGGTGGCGACGGCCACCCCAGCGACGGTTCCTCAATATTTTTCGTGTCGGAGGGCCACCTCAGCTCCCAGGGCCGTCTAACAGCGCTTCTGGATGGCAAGCCGATCGAGGGCGCGCGTCTTTCCCGCATCTGCGTACGCCTCATCCTGTTTGCCTGGGCAACCGTGGAGGGTTTCTCCGAGAGCTTCGGCGACCCGTCCTCCTACTCCTCCTCCTTTTCCTCCCTCCTCCTCCTCCTCCTCCTCCTCCTCCTCCTCCTCCTCCTCCTCCTCCTCGGGTCCCCTACGGACCCCGGGGAAATCCGTGCAGGCAACCGTTTCAGCGACAGCGCGTGTACAGCTCATCCGATGTGACCGCGACCCGATACCAGCCCCATGCAACGGCCATGGCTTGAACTTGCGTGAAGGTCATGAGTGGAACACCTCTCGCATCATGACATTTACCCGCCTCGCGGTTACCTCATCGACGTGTTCCAGGTCATCGCGTTCGCGGCTTCCGCCCGGGCCCCGTTTCCACGATTTGCACCTTGCTCGCGGTCATGACGTCCACATCTTCGACGTCATTGCCGTCGCCCCAGTTTGGCATCGACATCCTGACATTCGTCCCCGTGGCAGCCAGGCCTGTTCCACATTGCGTGAACTCGACTGTGGGTTCGTTCCAGCCAGTGGCCTGCACTGCCCTGCTGGCCATGACCTTTCTTCACCGATGATACCTGCGGCCGACAGCCCCCCAGCATCACCTGGACGCAGAACCATGATTTGAGGCGAAGCGAAGCGAGTCCTCAAGTTGTGCATGTGTCTTTAAACATACCTGTTTGTGTGCAAATATCTCTACCGATGTCTGTGCCCTACTGGCGAAGCCCCTCGTCAGTTGTCATGGCCTGCGGCGCCCTTGACTTCTCATTTTTTTGTGTCTCTCTCTCTCTCTCTCTCTCTATGCATCCCTCCCTCCCGTCTTCCTCACGCTTCGTCCCCATCCCTACTCCTCCTTCCCGTAGCCCTACCTGCCCTCGTCCTCCCCGCATTCATAAGGGCTCGATGTGAAAATTACGCCCCCCTCTCACACGCGAAGTTGTCCTGAAGATCGCCCGCCCCCCTCCGCGTGTTGTTGTGTTTTCCCAGAGGCTAGGGCGGGATTGTTTGTCCTGATGTGCTTTTACGTGTCGATGGCTTGTCCTTGTCTCAAGCATGGCGCTGTCGTTGTTGCGTGGGCCTCGTTCTCGGACCAGTGTTGTCGCCCTGTCGTTCAGATTGGCCCCTTCCCCCCAGCGCGGGCCATTTTTCTGGATCCCACACGTGGTGCAGGAGGCACAGGTCGCGCAAATCGCGCACGCCCCACATGTCCCACAAATCCCACAGGACCCACAGACTTCGCAGAGCTCTCACAGGCACCACAGGTCTGACAGGTTTTCCATAGGTCCCACAGGTCCCGCACGTGTCGCAGGTGTTGCAGGTCCCACAGGTCCCGCAACTCAGACAGGTCACGCAGACCCCACGGGTCCCGCAGGTGCCGCATGTTTCACAGATCCGACAAAGGTCCCCAGGTCCCAAAGGTCTCACAATTCTCGCCTGTGCCACAGGTCCCACATATTTCGCAGGTGTCACACGTCCCACAGGTGTCGCAGGTCTCGCAGGCCCCAAGCCGCACAGGCCCCACAAGTCCCACAGGTCCCACAGGTCCACAGTTCCCACTTGCTCCGCAGGTTCCACATGTTCCACACGTCTCGCAGGCCACAGAAGTCCCACAGTTCCCACATGCCCCACAGGTCCCACAGGTCAGCCTTGCTGCCCTAGATTGCTTTGCTGGGGCAGCAACGGGGTCCCAGGTCGGCTATGACATGCCCCCGCGGATACCGAAAAACCAGCGCCATGGGCAGGGATGGGAAGGAGGCATTGGATGTGATGTCAGCAGTCATGGCGCGAGCGCACCCAGCTTGCCTCTACCCCTCTCCGCCCTCCCTCCCGCTTTTCTCCCCCTCCCTCCCCAGCGAGCCCCAGCCGGTTTCTCATCCCTTCTGCCGCGCCTCGCTCTCCTCGGGGGCGGCCAGGAGGGTGATGACTAGGGGGGGCTGGATATCATGGCTGGGGCCAAGATATCTCTCCAGATTGCATAGCGCCTCTTCTTACTCCAACGCGTTCCCTGTTTCTCCTTGGGCAGCGCACTTTCCTCGGGGCATGTTTTGCGAACCCCCTTTTTGGACGCCCCCGTCGTTGACGCCCCGGATCTCATCATCCCTCTTCTCCCGGGTCCCCATCTTCCTCGCGCGCGGAGGAGGGGAATCAGGAGGGAGCAACAACCATACAGACACGAAGAGTCCTCGATTCTTATGGGAAAATGTGGAAGAGATGGGAAGTGAAGGGGATGACGACCATCCAGGACATGTGTCAAAAGATGGGGGACCTTGGGCTCGTGTATACTCATTTGTGTGCCCCCGGGCCCCGTTCAGAGGAGGGGGGCAGCGGACAAGACGACCGCGAGGAGGCGGGGGCGGGTGAGGAGGAGACCAAGCCGGGGGCGCAGGCCCATCCGCTCGAGCTTTGGGCGGATGCGTCTCGCGCGCCGGCTGCCCAGACCCCCATGGAGGCATGAAAGAGTCATGCCGGGAAGTGTTCCACTGTGTTTGCCTTCTGGAGGCCCTTGCCAGCCTTTGGGACCGTCCCATCAATTATCGATTGGGGATGCAAAACAGTTCCAGGCGAATGGGTCAAGGCTCCTCGGGGTCGACGTCATCAGCAAAAATCATGGACTCTGGGGTCTGCGTCTGAGGAGGGGGGCCCAGCAGCAGGAGCACGAGCAGTCTGGGGCCTGGACGCGATAGGGCTTTTTTTGTTACCGGTTCCGGCTTGCCGTTTTCCGTTGCCGGTTCCGGCGCAATTTTTGTTTCTGGTTCCGTCGTTGTTGTTTTTCTTGGTTGCGTGTATGATTCCCTGTCCATGATTTTCGACAGCCCATTTTCAAAAGGCCGTCCGTACATTGTTTTATAGACGTTTCCAGTAACATGTTTCAAACAACAAAGAATGCAAAACAACGGCCTGTCGTTGCCAGGGCCCACTAAGACTCGGAAAAGGAGGAGGGGGAGCAGCAGGATAAAGACCCAGCTTTCCTTGTGGCTGGCATTATCTTTGCGACGGTGGCTGCTAAGGCATGTTGTCAGCTCCTATCTTTTCCTTCAAAAATGATGAAGACCAGCCCTCCTGGGACAGGAGATGCTCTCCTCCCGGATGGTTGTGCTGGAGGCGCCGCTGCGGGCCGGAGGGGCTGGGGCAGCGGGCGGGCGCGATGTCGTCCCAGGGGGTCTTTTCGACGAGACAGGGCGCTCGCTGTCTGGGCCGCCCCCCGCCTGGCCCAACCTCCGCCTCCTTCCTCATCGTCCCTCGCCGCCTCCTCCTTCCTCGTCGTCCCTCGCCTCCCTCCCACTTCCCCTCTTGCTCCGCCCACTCTGGCCTTGCACGCTCCCCTGCCCGTTTCCCCCCGCGTCCTCCCCCTTCCCCCTCCCCTTCCTCCTCCCCCTCCTCCTCCTCCTTCTCCTCCTCTTCATCCCTTGCTCAGCCACCGACCCCCTTCTCGCCCTCCGCCCCCTCTTCACCCCTTCCTCCACCCTTCTCCTTTTCGTCCCGCCTCCTTTTCACCAGGGCTGGACCTAAACGTTGTTCTGCTGGATTTCGGCTGCGCTTTGTTTGTCTTTTCTTAGACAGGGAGTTATCAGAAGAAAGGCATGGCACAACGAACAACAAAACAGAAACAAAACGAAAAACAACGTGTTGGTCCAGCCCTCCTTTTGATCCCTTCCTCCTGTGGCCCAACTCTCCCTCGCCAGCGCTCCTCGGTTGCAATCCCTCGTCGGGGTGCTCTTGGGCAAGAGTGGCACATCCGGCGCTGCAATTCGCTGGGGTGGCGCAGTGGGCAGAGCGAGAGAACGGGGAGGGCGGGAAGAGTGCGAGGAGCCGGCGGGAGGAGGAGGAGGAGGAGGAGGAGGAGGAGGAGGAGGAGGAGGAGGAGGAGGAGGAGGAGGGGGAGGGGGAGGAGGAGGAGGATCGGCCACGCGCAGAGGGGGGGGGAGGGGGGAAGAGGCTGCTTAGAAGCACCCATGCTTCTCAGAGGGCCCAGGCCGGCGCCCCATGAGGTGCTCAGTTCTCCCAGCTTTTCACAGAATGTGCGAGTGCAATATGGATGCAGCCCTGACGGCGTTCGAAACGTAGCTAAATTGAATTAGCTGAATGTCAGACGCCAGTTGTCAATACCTTGGCATCGGTGTATGTGTTCGCGGTTGGCCCTGGTGAAGTTGGAGCTCAAATTCGGTTCTTTGCAACCCAAGGTGTTCGATCCAGTGTCGGCTTAGCTCAGCTTCAGGTTTCAAAATTTGTGCGTTGTACTAGCTCCGAGCACATATGAGCTCTTCTGGGCATGTGACATCATTGTTCAGCGTTGCTACCCTTTGGCTTTGGGCTTAGGACTTCGTGCTCCTCTTTCTCCAAACTCCGCCAGCCCATAGCTGCTGACCCTTCCCGCCCTCTCAAGCCCGCAGGGCATACAGCCCGACCTGCAATAGAACAGCCCATGTACTGAACCTTGCGGTGTGTGATGTCCCGGATGGCCACGGCCGACGTTTCCTGCTTCGTATTGGCATAATACTTTCCGTAAACTTCACAGCTGGGGTGCCGAGCAGAAACAAACTTACTGTTTCAGATCCTCTCACTGTCCTCTCCTCATCGCCGTCATCCCTCCTCCGATTGTCCCGCCGCGAGGGTTCAGTGAATGACGCCATCAACAGGCTTGCCTCGAGCATCCCAGTGAGTGCAGGAGAGAATGTCGGTACGGAAACACGATTGAAGGCACAAGATAGTGGGAGGATGAGTGTCAGTTGGCAGACGGTTTGAGAACGCAGTCGGTTCGTCTTTCATGCAGGATCTTCGGAACATGCATTTGTTGTGTATTGTCCGTGCTCATCTGCGTCTTCATCATCGCGCTGATTGGATTGGCTTCCGATGTCTGCATCACCGCACATCTGCAACGCTGTCCAGTTCTTACTTGCCGGTCTGATGCTCAGGCAGTCAAGATGCATAGCGAAGCCAGGTTTGGAGAAGGATGCCGATAAAGCGTTCTTGGTTCTGCCCTGCTTCCTGACCCTCGGTGGCTTTTCTTGGGCTTGGGAGCGCGGCGCCAGGGGCGGGCCCATCATCCCAGCGGATGGCCCCCGTGCAGGGAGGGTGACCGCGCGAGCCTCCTCCTCCTCCTCCTCCTCCTCCTCCTCCTCCTCCTCCTCCTCCTCCTCCTCCTCCTCCTCCTCCTCCTCCTCCTCCTCCTCCTCCTCCTCCTCCTCCCTTTCCTCCTCCTCCTCCTCCTCCTTCTCCTCCTCCTCCTCCTCCTCCTCCTCCCTTTCCTCCTCCTCCTCCTCCTCCTCCTCCTCCTCCTCCTCACCAAGCGGATGGTGGTACGTTTCTCCCCCGGCAGGGAGGGTGACCGCGCGAGCCGTCGGCGGCCTCGCGGCGCTGGAGGCCCTTCCCGGTCCGCCCCTCGCTGTGGCCCAGCCGCGAGGCTGAACGCCGGGCTCGTTCCCGATCCCGGCGCCTACTGCGCGGTGTACTCGGCGACGAAATCGGTCCGGGTGTGGGGAAGGAGGGAGAGGAGAAGGAGGAGGTCGGACGAGGAGGAAGAGGAAGAGGAGGAGGAGGGAAAGGAGGAAGAGGAGCAAAAGGAGGAGGAGAGGGAGGAGCAGGAGGAGGGGGATTATATTCGGCCGTGGGTCGACGTCCTCCCGGCAATAATTGTAATGGCAGACCGCGAGCGCCCCGAGAGAGGGGCTGGGAATGATTGGGGGGAATCAGGAGGAGGAGGAGGAGAAGGAGGAGGAGGAGGAGGAGGAGGAGGGGGATGAGGAGGAGGAGGAGGAAAAGCAGCAGGAGCGTAGGGGGGCTGGGAAGGGATTGGATAGGGACTGTGCCCAGATCAACTTACGTATCAGGGAGCAAGAGCCAGAGCAGTGCAATTCTTCGTTGCGAGCGAGCGCGAGGATGTGAAGCGACTGCTCATTCACCACCTCCTCACGCACAGGCGCAGTCACGTAACTCGCAGTTGAGGTTAAATCGATGCTCTCAAACGACTCGCTAACCCATGACTGAAGCGTCTCTCCGGAGGATCTGGAAGAGAAGAAGCAGGATAAGGAGGAGGAGCAGGAGGAGAGCAGAATGAGGCTATCGAGGACGATGGCACGTGAGAGAGGCGACCTGCCTTCTTACAGGCGGGCGTGAAGGAAGGGGGCGAAGACGCAGACGAGGAGGTAGAGGAGGACGAGGACTCTACCAGGAGGAGGAGGAGGAGGAGGAGGAGGAGGAGGAGGAGGAGGAGGAGCAGGAGGCAGAGGAGGATGAGGACGAGGAGGGGGAGGAGGGAGGAGGAGGAGGCTGAGGAGGAGGAGGAGGAGGAGGAGTAAGCAAGAATGGTCGGAGCGCTGGACTGTTTTTTCACCCTTGCGCGAAACAGCTCGCTCCTCCCCTGCCCAAGTGCCGGGTCTGGGGGATTCCGTGAGCACCCTGTATGCTGCTAGCACCCCGTGCCGCCCGCGATGGGCAGCCACTTGGGCCTATGAAGGCTGCCAGGCGACCCTGAATAACGTGCTCCGGAGAAGCCCTTCCTGGAGCACGCTCTACGTCTCCTGGATCCGTGCACCTGGCAGCCCCGAACTACCTTCCAGACCAGCTCCCCCCGTGGAGCCGGAGGATTCCGAGTTAAAACTGTGAAGCTGACCATCCTTATTCCCGTGAGCAATGACAGAAAACATGCTGACATCCTGTGCACTGCTGCTACGCTACATTGCACAAGAGGGTTATACGCGTGCCGTGCGGAGATTACGCGTGCAGAACGATGCAAAACAGTGTAAGCCAAAGACTGCGCGGATGCCGTGTGAAGACACGCGCTGGAAGCAAGAGAACGAGCACCACTGGAATACCTAGGAGTGCTTTGGACGCTCTCGGCGGGAGGGGGGGGGGGGAGGACGAAGGAATGGAAGGGAGGGAAGAGCGAGGAAGAAGGGACAAAGATCGGCGGCGGTCCAATGCCCTGGGACCCCCCGCCGATTGCAGGCGCCTCGGCGCGCCGAAGAGGAGGAGGAGGAGAAGGACGAAGAGGAGGAGGACGAGGACGAGGAGGTGGGCCCGCGGCTGGAAACGATGCATATCCATCGCCGCGGGGGGAAGGGGGGGGGGGTCAATGTCCAGAGATCCCCCAGGAGGCAGCAGGGCTCATTCCGAGTCCTCCCACTCGATTCGATTCGATTTCGATCGATTCCGATTCCGATTCTATTCGATTCGACCTCGGGTTTTGGTTTGGATCTCGGTTTCTCAGCGGAGGCCTTACTAGCCGGTCGAGTTCCGCCGATGCGGCTTGTCCCGATTTGGTTGCCGATTTCCGCCGATCCGATGCATTTCGATCGTCGATCCGACTTATTGATTCGATTTCGGGGTAATCTTGGAGGCAGTCAATGTGGACAGCCTCCGGCCCTGGGAAGGCCGAAGTTCTGCCAACATGATCCTCCTCCTCATCGGCCCCGCACACGTAAAACATTCGAGCCCCGGGAGGGATAGACAGCACGAGGAGGACCCAGCCATCCGACGTCTTGACTCTTTGGCTACGGGGTCCGTGGAAGGCCAGACCCTTGCCCCAGGGCGGTGTATCATGCCGTGCAGTTTTTGTTAACGGTCCGGGGGCCTAGCGAGGGCCATCCGACGCCGACGTTTGCCAAGTCCCCCACCGCTTCCTTGGAGGAGGAGGCGGAGGAGGAGGAGGAGGAGGAGGAGGCGGAGGAGGCGGAGGAGGAGGAGGCGGAGGAGGAGGAGGCGGAGGAGGTGGAGCATGTCTGGGGAGCGCGCGTGAGGGAGGCGTACTACCTGCTCTACCAGGCGGGCATGAAGGACGCCGCCTGGCCGCGAGAGCGCGCGCAGCGCCCGCCCGCCTCACTTTTCCCCGTCTGCGGCGGGAGCGGGCTCGGTCCCCTCCCTCCCCTGGGCTCGCGGGATTGGCTTGCACGCGAGAGGAGGGAGTGGGAGGGAGCATAGAGGAGGAGGAGGAGGAGGAGGAGGAGGAGGAGGAGGAGGAGGAGGAGAAGGAGGAGGAGGAGGTGGAGGAGGGGAGGCGGATAGGGGGAGGAGGAGGAGGTGGAGGAGGAGGAGGAGGAGGAGGAGGAGGAGAGGAGGAGGAGGAGGAGGAGAAGAAGGAGGAGGAGGAGGAGGAGGTGGAGGAGGAGGAGGAGAAAGAGAAGGAGGCGGAGGAGGGGGAGGAGGAGGAAGAGGAGGATGAGGAGGAGGAGAAGGAGGAGGAGGAGGAGGAGGAGGAGGAGGAGGAAGAGGAGGAGAGGAGGAGGAGGAGGGGGCGGAGGAGGAGGAGGAGGATGAGGAGGAGGGGACGGAGGAAAAAGGAGAGGAGAGGAGAGGAGGAGGAGGAGGAGGAGGAGAGAGGAGGAGGAGACGGAGGAGAGGAGGAGGAGGAGGAGGAGGAGGAGGAGGAGGGGGGGAATGGGAGGAGACGGGGAGGGGGGGAGGGGGGGGGAGGAGGAGGGAAGGAGGAGGAGGAGGAGGAGGAGGAGGAGGAGGAAGAGGAGGAGGAGGAGGAGGAGGAGGAGGAGGAGGAGGAGGAGGAGGAGGAGGAGGGGTGGGGAGGAGGATAGGGGGAGGAGGAGCAGGAGGAGGAGGAGGAGGAGGAGGAGGAGGAGGAGGTGTAGAACAGGAGGAGGAAAAGGAGGATGACGAGGAGGAGTAGGTGGATCGGGGTGGTTTTGGTCTGGGGTTCGGGGTTCGCAGTTTGCGTGTTCGTCGCTTCTCGGTGGCTTTCAAGCCATGGCATGCGTTCCAACAACTGCGCGTCGCCGAGAGCATTCTGGGCGTACGGGTCTTCCCGGACGCCCGCCAGAGACCGAAGTTATAACCTGAAGGCCTGGTTGTTGCTCGCTGGAGTGATCCTTGGTGGGCGGCTTTCTGGGGCGCCCTGGGGCCTGGCGCAAGCATGCGGGCCGTTTTTGTCGCACCACCTGCGACGATCGGCAAATCGGTTGCCACGGTCACACGGAAGAGGAGAAAGCGGATAGAGAGGCCGAATATTGTGGAGCCCATACCAAGAAACACTTTGCCTGTCTCCAGGGTGCCATGGGTTTCTTGGGGTTCGATGGTTTTCTTGTGGAAGGCGTGACGCTTTCACACCAAAAGACAATAAACGTCTTGGGGTACCAGGGTTGGGTTTCTTGTGGAAGGTTTCTTGTGGACGGGCCTCCATTATAATAGCGGGAGGAAGCGGGGGGAAGAGGAGGAGGAGGAAGAGCAGGAGCAGGAGGAGGAGGAGGAGGAGGAGGAGGAGGCCGAGGTGGAGGATCATTTTGGCAACCTGGAGAACGAAGGCGAGATTTGGAACTTCCCGCCCATGAGAAGATGAAAGCGTATTGCCACAACAAGTGTTTTTCAGAAGATGATTTTGGGAGTTGTTATTCCCCACATCCTGAGTGGGGTTCTTGTTTTCCCAGAACATCCTCCTCCTCCTCCTCCTCCTCCTCCTCTTCCTCCCGCTTCCTCCACCCCCCCATAACGTATCATACCATACCAATACCATGCCATTCCATACCATACCATACCTTACCATACCATGCATCCACCATCCCATACCATACCATGCCTCTCCACACCACACCATACCTTACCATACCATACCATGCAACGCCGTATCATACCATGCCATACCATACAATACAATGCCATGTCATACCATGCCATGCCATACCCTACAATACAATGCCATATCATACCATACCATACCATGCCATGCTATACCACGTCACACCACCCATACCAATCCTTACCACACCATGCACACCACCAACTAATACCAATCCACACCATACCACCATACCAGACCATACCATCACACCATGTTATTTATCAGGTTTCGTGGCCTTCCCACCCCTCCAGGGAGGCCCCGCCTGAGCGAGCAGGGTAACCGCACACCATGTTATTTATCAGGTTCCGTGCCCCTCCCACCCCTCCAGGGAGGCCCCGCCTGAGCGAGCAGGGTATTCGCACACCATGTTATTTATCAGGTTTCGTACCCCTCCCACCCCTCCAGGGAGGCCCCGCCTGAGCGAGCAGGGTATTCGCACACCATGTTATTATCAGGTGTCGTGCCCCTCCACCCTACCTGAGCGAGCGCGCTGAGCGAGCAGGTATTCGCAAATGTTATTTATCAGGTTTCGCGCCCCTACCACCCCTCCAGGGAGGCCCCGCCTGAGCGAGCAGGGTATTCGCACACCATGTTATTTATCAGGTTTCGTGCCCCTCCCACCCCTCCAGGGAGGCCCGGCCTGAGTGAGCGGGGTATTCGCACACCATGTTATTTATCAAGTTTCGTGCCCCTCCCACCCTCCAGGGAGGCCCCGCCTGAGCGAGCAGGGTATTCGCACACCATGTTATTTATCAGGTGTCGTGCCCCTCCCACCCCTCCAGGGAGGCCCCGCCTGAGCGAGGAGGGTATTCGCATCACCTGTTATTTCTCAGGTTTCGTGCCCCTCCCACCCCTCCAGGGAGGCCCCGCCTGAGCGAGGAGGGTATTCGCATCACCATGTATCTAAGCATGTGTCGTTGGCCAATTCCACCCCTCAGGGAGCGCCCCGCTTGAGCGAGCAGGGTTTCGCACACCATGTTATTTAATCAGGTTTCGTGCCCCTCCCACCCCTCCAGGCGAGGCCCCGCCTGAGCGAGCAGGTATTCGCACACCATGTTATTTATCAGGTTTCGTGCCCCTCCCACCCCTCCAGGGAGGCCCGGCCTGAGTGAGCGGGGTATTCGCACACCATGTTGTTTATCAAGTTTCGTGCCCCTCCCACCCTCCAGGGAGGCCTCGCCTGAGCGAGCAGGGTATTCGCACACCATGTTATTTATCAGGTGTCGTGCCCCTCCCACCCCTCCAGGGAGGCCCCGCCTGAGCGAGCGGGGTATTCGCACACCATGTTATTTATCAGGTGTCGTGCCCCTCCCACCCCTCCAGGGAGGCCCCGCCCAGAGCGCCCAGGCACGGCGGCCACAAGGTCATCGGACAGACCGCGACGCGGCACCATTGTTGATCCTTCCATTACCCCCCAACCAGCCCATCCAGAAACAATGCTCGTGTGAAGTGAGGCAAGGAGGGCGACAGTCTAGGTGACAATGTGAGCGACTGGAGTGCGCTGGGAGATATCCGGGTGCATGACAGAGTCTTCGAATGCCACTCAAGGCAATCCTTGACATATCCGCACGAGGCACGTGGGGAAACATGGCAATAACGAAAACACAGAGGAGGAGGAAAAGAAAATGGAGGAGGAGCAGGAGGAGATGGGGAAGGAGGAGGAAGACAAACAGGAGAAGGAGGAGGAAAACAAGGAAGAGGAGGAGGAGGAGAACGAAGAGGACGAGGATGAAGAAAACGAGGACGAGGATAAGGAAAAGGAAGCGGGAGGACGAGGAGGAGGACGAGGAGGAAGAGGAGGAGGAGGAGGAGGAGGAGGAGGATGCTGAGCACTGTGATAACGTGATAACCATATTGCTTCTAATGCCTTTCCCTCCTGGGGGTTATCTTGAGCCATGTGAGCTCCGCGGACGGCTCACGGGAGGCCCGTCCGACCTCCAGGGAAGGACTTCCTCTTATGAGGCACGATGGCAGTTCACAGCTCGACTTCTGTGGACCGCGTCCTACACATCCATCATCCTTCCGTGCTGTTTCCCCTCCTCGCCTTCGTCGGCCTTTCCATAAACATATATACACATGATTGGCTTTCATGTTTGATACTGCTTGTATGCCCTCGTGATCACACTAACCCCGTAACATCTATCTGTGGGGAACTCCGTTAGCATAATTGTCATTTAGTGTTGTTTTCCTGCGCCGCGAGTGGTCCGCAGTCGTTTGCTTGCGCCACTTGAAGCAACAGGGGGCCTCTGGAGCCACTGGGGGCCGCGGGGTGGCCACTGGAGGAGCCACTGGAGGCCGCAATATGCTCGTGTGGGTCCGCGGGGGCCCCTGGAGCTCCTCCTCCTCCTCCTCCTCCTCCTCCTCCTCCTCCTCCTCCTCCTCCTCTTCTTGTCCTCGCCTTCCCGTCCATCCCTCCCTCCTCCTCCTCCTCCTCCTCCTCCTCCTCCTCCTCCTCCTCCTCGTTCTCCTCCTCGTCCCACCTCCCCTTCTCGACACCAGGGTGCCGGCGCCCCCTCACTGAATCCTGCTCGGGAGCCTTGAGACGGGGGTCAATGCAAACAGGGGTCAGCCAGGGCACCGGATCCTGCAGGATCCTGCGAAGACCCTTTCTGGCTGACCCGGGTTAGCGAGCCGCTCGTGGCCGCGGGGCGGCCGCGCATATTGGCTGACCTGGGTTTGCGAAGACCTGCGTTGTAGTTTTTGTTCCCTGCATTGCAGTTGTTTGGTTTCCTGCTGACCCGGGTCTGGATTGACCCGGGTCAGAAGATCCCCGACCTGCCCTGCCCGCGCCGCTGCGTGGCAGCTGGATGCCGCCTCCCTCCCCCTGCTTCCCCCTCCTTCCCCCTTCCTCCTTCCTCATCCTCCCTTCTTCCCCCTCCTTCCCCATTCCTCCTTCCCCCTTCTTCCTCCTTCCCCCTCCTTTCCCCTCCTTCCCTCTTCTTCCCCCGTTCTTCCCCCCCCCCCCCTCGCGGGCTGGTTTTCCTTTCCAGGCTTGCTTTCCCGTTCCAATGCGTTTTGTTGACGACCCAGAGGCCCACACTTGACGCCTCGATCCGTTCGGGGCGCCAGATGCGTGGGCCCCTCACCTCTCCCTCCTCCCACCCCTCCCCCTCCTCCCGTTCTCTCTCCTCCCGCTTTCTTTTCCGCCCCCGTGCGTCCGCCGCGGCGGACGTGGGTGCCCAGTGGGTGCTCGGCGGTGCGCGCCCGCACTGGTGGGCGGCCGCGCCCTCCACTGCACCGAGGCGCGGCCGCGCGCCCCGCGCCCGCACGCGCGCGCACGCTTCGCGGGGCGCGCCTCGTGGGTGGACAGTCCTCCAGGCCGCCGCTGGCGGGTGCCACCCGCCGCCCCCTCCTTTTCCACTACCTCTTCCTCCTCCTCCTCCTCCTCCATCCTCCTCCTCCTCCGCCTGCTCCTCTTCCTCCGCCTCCTCCTCCCCTCCTCCCTACTCCCTCCTCTTTCTCCTCCGCCTGCTCCTCCCTCCTTCTCCTCCTCCCGTTCTCTCCTCCTCCTCCTCCTCCTCCTCCTCCTCCTCGTGAGCTTGCGAGAGTGCCGCGGCGGAGACCACCGCGGGCGCGACGAAGAGGGGGGCAGCAGCGGAAGAGTCTGCGGTGGTGCTTGGCCCCCCTCGTGAAAGGAGGGCGGCCGCTTGCCTTCCCCCACCCCCCTTGCCATGACGTTCGCGCTCGGCGCTCGCCTCGCCTTCGTGCTTGGATTCCCGAGGCGCGTTCGGTCACGCCGACGCGCTACTGTAGCTGTTTTGCTGTGTAGGTTCGCCGATCGGCGCGGGCCCCCGGCCCACCCCCTCGCCCCCTCCGCAGGCCAGAGGTTGGCTGCGTTGGGCGGCTGCTGTTGGCGACTGGTGAGGACATCTCCCCCAGTGGTGCAAGCACAGGCGAAGGTCGACCAAGCACCGGCTCAGACCCACCCCCCTCCCCCACCCTCCCCCACTTATTTCGGCCAGGTGTCGAAGTGCAGCAGCAAGAACGCGCCTACCTTGGATGCCCGCTTCCCGCCCCGCCCCCCCCTCCCCTCCCTGACCTAACCGTTGTCGAGCCCTTTGGCCCCGCCCGCCTCGGCGGCCAGGACAGGGCCTTCGCCTGCTTGGGCGTCGCGGGCGGCGAGGACGGGCGGCGGCGCCCTCCTCGCCCTCCTGCGCGCAGCCTTCCGCAACGAAGAGGAGGAGGGAACGCGGAGCGAGGAGTGGTTCGGAGGAGGAGGCGAAGAAGGAGTAGGAAAAGGATGAAGAGGAAGACCAGTGCAAACATAATTCGCGTCAAAGCTGGGTGAATACACCATCCTTCCAGGTTCCTTCTTCATAGGCCCTTGCAGGGATTCATTTCCTTTGAGGGAAGCGCTCCGTTGGGAGACAACCAACCGTTCGAAGATTCTGAAGCGTGCCAGAGCATCATTCTCGGGGTTCCCCCGCAACGAATCAACCTTATTGTCGCGTCTTGACGATCCTGAATCGAGCAAAAACGCCATCCCTGGGACTTCAACACCGCGAATCAATGTAACTATTGAGCCCTGGCAACCTTGATTCGCTCCAAAAGATGATGTCTGGTACGCTGCCAATGCGAATGCGTGAAACCCCTGGACATGGTAAAGACGTCTGTGCGTGGCGATAAATCGAGATCCACATTTTTGAACGGAGCCGCCCTCAATCGGGAATACTCTTCTGCAACTTTTGAAGAACAAATGTGTGCGGCGCTGGGGCGAGAACCACATTTTGAAAACGGCCCGCCCTCAATCCGCGAAACCCTCGCAATTATGTAAGACGAATTTTGGAAGTTGCCCGCCCTCCATCTGCAAAGCTGCTGCCAACCTCCAAGCTTCACGATTAGGAGTGAAGAGGACGTCTCAGGCGAAACGCCCGCGCAACCCTTTCGACCAGCCTCGGGGTGCGACAGTGAGGAGTTTCACATAAGGAAATCAATGGAGGAGGCGAGAGGGAGGGGAGGGAGAGGGGCTAGGGCGAGGATATAGCCGTTCCAGGGCGTTCCGGACCGGTTTCAGAGCGTGCTGGAACGCTGCGAGAAGGATCGATGGAGTGAAGAGGACGTCTCAGGCGAAACGCCCGCGCAACCCTTCCGACCGGCCTCGGGGTGCGACAGTGAGGAGTTTCACATAAGGAAATCAATGGAGGAGGCGAGAGGGAGGGGAGGGAGAGGGGCTAGGGCGAGGATATAGCCGTTCCAGGGCGTTCCGGACCGGTTTCAGAGCGTGCTGGAACGCTGCGAGAAGGATCGATGATCTTCAGGACGTGTGTTAGTCCAATGTGTGGGTTACCCCTTTCAGACCAACCAGTAGATCATCATATCGCCCGCGTCGTATCGAAGGGCCTCGATGGACAAACGCACGTTGCGGCTAATCCTGAGGATCATCGAAAGCAGCCCAGACGGGCCCTACAGGGTTCCTGCATGGTCCTCTGCTTCAATTCACCATTCCCGGGGAAACGTAAGACTCGAGAAAGCCAGAATTCGGGTCTGTCCACGTTTCTTGACGAGCGCGTCTTGGATCTTCACGGTCCTGCTTGTCGTGGGACGTCTGCAGCGGGAGCTCGCGTCAAATTTCAGATCGGGTCTCGTCATTTTTGTAATGGCCCCGTCAGGCCAACCCGAGTCCCCCGTACCCGAGTCCCCAGACCCCCGACGTCGTGATTTTTTTCACAATGTCGACCCCCAGCGGTCTGGACCCCTTCCCCGGGACTGGTTTCTCATCCCAAGTCGTTTCTTGACGGTCCCGAGGCCTAGTGATGGCTCCCAGAGGCCGAACACATTGACGGTCCCGTGATTCTTGCCACAACGCGAGGGGGTCTGGGTCTCACGTCTCACGTCTCCCCCACATTTCGGCCACCCCCCGTTTTCACCCGCCCGAGGGGCGGGCTCTCTGGGCAGGCGCCCAGGTGGCCCGACGCTGGAGCCAGGGTCTCGCGCGCCCAAGAGGCGGACACGTGCAAGCGACGATTCCGCAAGAAAGTTGATGGCTTAGTTTAAGTCGCGCGTGTCCCTCTACAGGAGGAAAATCCAAAAATGGTCACAAAATAGTTGTGGGACGACTTTTCGACTATTTATGAACATGTTTGGCATATGTTGGGGGCTTTTTTAAACATTTGTCGTCCAAAATCCGCCTGTAGGGGGACATGCCCGACCTAAGGCTTAGTTTTTCGTTCACGGCGAGGTCCATGGAAGGCTTGGTCCTGTCCCCATGGCCGGCTTTCCATCCCGAGCCGTAACTTGTCAGTCCCTGTGGCCCGGCGAGGGCTGCCAGACGCAGCGCACCAGAAGCCATCCTTGCCTAGATGTTGGAGGCCCAGGAGAGCTTCCCGAGGCGCCCCTCCTCGAGCCTATCCGAGGAGGCCGCCGCCTCCGAGGGGCCTCGGCCAGAGGGGGTTGGGGGGGGGGAGCGGGGTTGGAAGGGGGGGATGTGAGGTTTCTGTGATGGTGGAAGAGGGTGGGCAGGGGGGCGTGAAGAGAGAGAGAGAGAGAGAGGAAGAGAAAGAGGAAGGGAGGGGGGGAGACGTGGAGAGGGGGGGTGAAGAGCTGGGGACGGCGGAGGGGGTGATGGATGGATGGCAGGTGGGCGGGGCAGCAGCCAGGGGATCGATCTGTGAGGGCCCTGGATCCCGACGCCGTGCGAAAACGCCCGGCCCGAACCTGGCGTCTCAGGGTGGGGGGACGGCCAGAGGAGAAGCGGGGAGTAGGGGGGCAGTTGGGGAATCGGGGGCGCGCGGGTTGCGCTCAGGGGGCCCTGGAAGCGACAGGGTGTTTGTTCTGTTTGGAGCTTCTGGAGCTTTTGTTTGGCGTGTCCGGCGCCGGTGTTTTACCGTTTTCGTTTCCCCTGGTGGGGGCACTGGGCCAGATCACGTTTTTTTTTCTGCGGGATCCGAACCGTTCTCGAAACGGTTCCGGGCGTCCTTTGGACCCCCATGGTAGATTGTTCTTGTCCATGGGCAAGTAGAAACGGCCCTGCCGCTTACTGGGCCCACTGTTGTCGGCGGCGAGCCGGGGGGTCAATGTAGAGGGATCGGGCCTTCTCAGCAAACTCTGAAGGCCTCGGGCCTCCTGAGAAGTCTCGTACGCCTCCTCCAAGGGCTGAGACGGCTCCTCAGAAGGCCGGAGGCCTCCTGCGCAGCCCCGCCGCCTTCTGAGAAGGCCTGTCCCCTCGACGCTTTGTGGTTTTCGGATCATCGGGAAGGAGGAGACGGAGTAGAAGGATGATGAGGATGGAGAAGAGGAGGAGGAGGAGGAGAAGAAGGAGGAGGAGGAGGAGGAGAAGGAGTTGAAGGTGGAGGAGGAGGGGCAGAGGAGGAGGAGAGGAGAGGGAGGAGGAGGAGGAGGAGGAGGAGGAGGAGGAGGAGGAGGAGGAGGAGGAGGAGGAAGGGAAGAAGGAAGAATAGGAATAGGGTGAATGGGTGGAGGAGGAAGAGCAGGAGGAGGAGGAGGAAGGGGGAGGAGGAGAAGGTGGAGGTTGAGGAGGAGGAAGAGGAGAGACAGGTGGAGAAGGAGGAGGAGGACGGAAAGTAGGGAAAGAGGTGGGTGGAAGAGAATGAGGAGCAGGAGGAGGAGTCGGAGAGTGCAGGTCTGTTTTCGGGAGTTCTACCCCCTGGCCGTCGCCCCCCGCGCCGCGCCCCGCCTGCGCGGACGCCCTCGGGGGGGGGGGGGGGGGGGCAGCCCCAGCGCGCCGCCACGCCTTCGTCGGCGGGCGGCGGGCGCTGCATCCTGCACCCCACGCGCGGGAAATCATGTGTCCCCTCAGCTCGAAGAAGAAAAACTATTGCGTAAGCATAAACCTTTGGCGCTCCGCGCGGATTTCTTGGATCGGCGCCTGGGTCCCTGCGGAGGCGCCTCCAGCGCCGCCCCTAGCGCGCTCCGCTCGCCATGGAGGGGGGCCCAGCGCAGATCCAAGAAATCCGCGCGGAGCGCTAACCGTTTATGTTTATGGCGTTTTTTCTTCCTCTATCAACCCTTTCGACCTGAAAGCGGCCCAAAGGGCATACATAACCAAGACCCACGAGACTCGCCCGCTCAGTGTGTAGAGACATACCGGCCGACATGCGGACACACGTCAACGATATCATGATTTTCGCTTCGATTGCCCACGACGAGGCGCATTACTCTTTCGACGAGGTGCGCAACAAGCAGCCGAATGACAAGTACGACACCAAGTACGACGCCAAGTGCGCTACCAAAGTCGCTGGCAAGTACGACAGCAAGCGCTACGGGAAAAACCCGGTCGCGGCCATCTTCAAGCCAGGGCAGATGACGCTCGACCTGGTCGTGGAGACTTTGCCGTACATGACCCAAGCGAGAATGGACAGCATTGGGGGGCGACCTTGCCAGCGTGGACAACGACGTCCATTTGACCAGCTACGACGCCTTCAAGAGCAGGCGCGCCCACCAGGACTACGGCGGCCACCAGGACTACGATTGCCACCAGCGCCGCGACCAGTATGAACGCCAGCACTACGACTCCCTGTGCAACTACGCCGCTGGCGACCGCTGGTACAAATCCAGGAAGGTCGAGGAGACCGCAGCGGACGACGCGCATGGCACCCAGGTTGCGGCCGCCTCGGAGGGCCCATGGGCCCTGCCCCCTTGGGTGCTCCAGCCCCGAGCTGACCAGGGCGATGGCCCAGAACTTGTCAAAATGAGTATCCCCTATTGGGCTCCATTCGGCGGCCCCCCCTACCTAGCCCTTCGGGCAATGCCGCTGAGGACCCTTGTATCGCCGCCACGGCTGGATCCACTTGGAATCCCTGGCCAGGGCCCCCAGCTTGGTAAGATGGATAAGGCATGGTAAGAGGGAGGAGGGCGTTCTGAGCCCCACGACCATCGGGCCGAGCCTAACGATCCACGTGTTCAAGAAAAGGACGAAGAGCTGATGGATGAGGACTAGGCCTGGGAAGCGGAGGAGACCAGGATGGCAGACGCGACCGGGAAAAAGGTCAAGGAGGCCAACAGGAGAGGACGGACCGTCCTCAGCACCGAGTCTTTGCACGACGCTGCCGTCTCGCACCCGGCTTCCATGCGACTTGCATCCAGCAGCCCAGTTGCATGTACCACAGCGCCGCAGGTGGTTTTGTATAGACAACCGTGCACAGGACCGTTGTCTGCCGCGGAAAA